CTGATGTTTCTCTCCCTCTTTCTCCCTCCCTTCTCCTCTCTCTAAAAATAATTAAACAAAATCTTTTTTAAAAAGACCTGCGAAGGGACCAACTTAACAAAAACACGCAGGCTTCCCCTGCTCCCCAGAAACCTGCTCCTGCAAAGCCTCCCGTGAGCTGAAGGGGCCTGGAGCATGAGAGCCACTCGCCCGCCGCGGGGAGAGCTGCCGAGTGTTTGCAGCGCCCAGAGTGACACGCCAGCCGCAGCGAACGCCCGGGAAAGCCCAGCCGACGGGAGGGCGTGCGCAGCTCACACGCAGGTGTTACGCCGGCTTCTGTGAGGACCTTGAGCATCTGTGGATTGGGCGTCTAGGGGGGCAGGGAGTGGGTTCTGGAACCACCCCACACGTGCCGAGGAAGGACGATCGTGTCCTGGGGCAGAACCTCACGTGTGGATTCTAAACGCTCTGTACAGAGCCCCCCCAGTTGCCGCTCCCGGGCCTGGCTGCTGCCTGCTTCCTCCGACCAGGACGTCCCCTCAGCCTGTGCAGGCCGGTCTCCGAGGTGACAGTCGGCACAGCCGCTGCGTTCAGGTCCACGGCCCCTGCACACCTTTGGCAGCCGCCCCCCACCACCACCCCGGGCAACACGTCCACACGGCATTCCCGTGCCCCGGTCACCGCGGCTCGGTTCTGGCCGAGCGGCGTTTCCTCCCTCTGAGCTGCGGAGGCTCACGGTGCCGCGGCGGGGACCAGGGCCCGGCAACGACACGCTTCCCCGAGACCCCGAAGCCACGGCTGCTCAGGGCGCCCCCTCGCCCGGGGGCCTCGCACGCAGCTTCTGCTCTGGCTCACGGACGGAAAGAGTGACGGCGCCTTGCGGCCACCCTCTGGGTGGGACAGTGTGACAGGTTCTGATGGCTCCGTGCCTCCCCCGCGCCCCACCCGCTGCTGCAGGGAACACACCTCTCTCCGTGCGTCCCAGGCCGCTGACCCCCGCCTCCACCTCAGCAGCGGCGACAGAACCGAGACTCAGGGCCCCAGTCAGCGGTGGAAAACCGAGGGACACCCGTCACGTGGACCGGCCCCGGGCTGAGGAGACGCTCAGCCTCGGTGTCGCAGCCACGGGAAAACACAGCACATCACACACGCGTCTCCAAGTGGTTGGCAGCGTAACAGTTTGGTGCCAAGAATCAGCGTCTCGTGTTGACAGCGGATGTCAGGTTTGCAGCGTCTCGCTCTGAGCTGTCGGAGCGCACAACACGGAGGACAGGCCACGGGGCGGGTGGGGGGGCGCGGGCGGCACTCAGAGACGTGGCGGTGCTGCACGAGTTCACGTGGGGCCCACGCACGCCCCACGCCCGGCGCCGTTTCCACGCTCCAGGGCCCGGAACTGGCCTCCCGACCCGACTGCTGGGCAGCACGCGTTTGGGCTGAAACGGCCCGGTGGGCGCCGAGGGCCAGCGGATGGGGCCCCTCGTCCGATGGTGGACAAGGATGGGGGACGCGTGGGCCGGTGCCCCCACCGGAACGCTCCAGCCGGCGGCTGCCACCATAATGGGCGTGACGGGACCCACACCTGGTCCACGGAATTCACAAAACACTTGGAATGGCCACTCAACGTGCCCTTCTGCTTCCCACCCCCCCCATTTCAGGGTGACGTGATGAAGAACCCCCCCACCCCACAGACCGAGGCTTCCACAGCCGAGATGAATCTGAACTCCTTCAGGAGACGACTCCCCTGCTCCCCGGTAGAGTAAGGCATATTGCTCCTCCTGCCCCCCCCACTGCCCCCTCCTGTACCCTCCTTAGTCAGCACGGTGCCCCACTTTTTAGAGGGCCTTCCTGTGGGACTTCCCATGGGACTTCCTGTGGGACTTTCCACCTCACGTGGGTGAGAGCGAAACCGCACTCCCCGCAGAGCGGTGGGGATGGGAAAGGTCGGTGCGCTCGGCTGTGCCCCTGAGAGCTTTCACAGTCCCCCTGCCCCCCCGATTACGGGGCAGAGGACATGGAGAACGTCTGGGGGGCTGGGACCGGGGGCGTTCCCAGAGGCGTGCCCCTCCCTCGGGGCTGCTGGGTGGGGAGTGAGTGTGGGGGATGCCACAGGGAACTGTCCTCTCGAGGGGGGGGGGGAATGTGACACTAGCGTGGTCCCGGTCGAAGCCCCAGGAAGTGACCGGATGACGCTCCTCTGCTTCCCCGGCAGGTTGACCACGCGTTTCCCTGCGAGTGCTTGCACTGCGCACGGCGCCTGTGTGACGGCACGAGAACACACTGCGACAAACGCCACCCGGCGTCACACAGGCGTCTCTGAGTCCGACACACGCTGACGGGAGCGGAAGCCCACTCGGGCACCCAGCATTCTCCTTCCTGCTTGCACCGCAGCAGGGCCCCCGGGGGAGGCGGTCGCAGGAAGGCCCTGTTCTGGGGAGAGGCTCACGGGCAGACAGAGTTCCGGCACGTTCTGTAAGGTCAAGTGGGAGGCAAGCAAGTAACAAGGCTGCCCTGGCCGGGTGGCTCAGGTGGTCGGAGCGTCATCCTACACTCTGTAAGGCTGCGGGTTCCATCCCAGCAGGGCACATAGGGGAGGCAGCCAATCGATGTTTCTCTCTCTCTCTCTCCCCCCTCAACCCCCCAAAATTCAATAAAGAAATTCTCAGGTGAGGGTTAAAAAAATTAAGTAACGAGAGTGGGTTGCAAAATGCACAGCACCCCCACATCAAGAATGCCATGACAAGCATTAAGATTCCGTGAGAAGACGAGAAGAAAGTCCTTGAATGTCTAGACCCACAGAAACATCTGCGTGAAGAGCAAGGACTCCGGTTGGACACGGGGAGGTGGTGCACATTTCTGCAGAGTGTCTGCGTTTCCCCTTGAGCCGCGGCGCTCCTTCCCGGAACGGGGTCACGGCGAGCACGGCCGACGGTCCAAACCGACCTCTTTCCAGTGAAAATCACATTCAGCCTTTTAAAAAAAAAACACTGAGTTTGCACTCACCTAGAGTGAAATCACAAACGTGAGCCTCCGAGGCTTTGTTCTGTTCAGCAGGCAGATCGGTCCGGACTTCGGGGTCACGGACGCCTTGTTCAACAACACAGAGACCTGGATGGGACCGGGGGCCGGGCGCACGTCCGTCCCGGCTTCGGCCCGAGAACGGAAACCGGGTCTGCAGAGCCGTGTCTGGAGGGACCGCGCTGCCCCCGGTACGGCAGCCTCCCGAGCCCTTCATTAGCGGCTTAATTAGTCTCGTTCGGAAGTAATGCACGCACTTGTGAACCGAATGAAAGTGAGTTTTAAAGGCCGTGCCCGGCTCTAGGCGTCTCTCAGCCCTGCCCACCCCCTCATTCTGTTGCATAAAGGAGGCTGCAGACGGTTCGCCCTGAACCACCTTGAGGCAGGACCCCTGTTGCGGGCCACAGGCCCGGGGGCCAGGCCGTGGGCTGACTGACACAGGCCATCAAACCACCTCGGGAAATTCCGCCAACACGCGGCCGGTCTCCGGCTTCCTCGCAGACCCCCAGGGCTGCTTCCTCCGTGGCTGTAGCCCGCGGGGCCTGGGCGGCCGGGGCCCCTCCGGGTGACACTCACGTCTGACCGGCGGCTCCAGACAAGCGGCCTGGCTGCTGGGGTCTCAGCTGGTGGATGCGGAGCGGGAGCGGCACCTGTCCCAGTGTGGTGGGCTGCAGACCCCCCCGGCCCGGGGTCTGGCCGCAAACAGCCCCGTTGTGCTGCCTCAGGGTGAGCTGCCACCACCTCGAACCAGCCCGTCTGAGTCCAGGGGGCTCCACGCCCCCACCAACCAGAACCCCCCCTCCTGCTGCTGTTTCCCGCAGGTCAGCTCGGTGGTGCCGCCCCAGAGCGGAGGCCTGGCGGGGGGTCAGCAAATAACCCTTCAAACATATTTCTAGCCCTGGCTGGCGTAGCTCAGTGGATGGAGCACGGGCTGCAAACCAAAGCATCGCAGGTTCGATTCCCAGTCAGGGCACATGCTTGGGTTGCAGGCCACGGCCCCCAGCAACCACACATTGATGTTTCTCTCTCTCTCTCTCTTTCTTCCTCCCTTCCCTCTCTAAAAATAAATAAATAAAATCTAAAAAAAACGCACAAAAAAAACAACAAAAAAACACGTTCCCTTCACGTGCACCAGCAGCGCTCTGCACGTCTGCTCTGCTCCACGCCGAGGTCACCTGCATGACGGGCTGTGTTCGCTGCGGTGAGATGGACATGCGGCATCTCCCACACGTCAGTGGGTACCGGACGAATGCACCAGTGAGTAACTGAAGTGGACAGACAGATGGACGGACGGATGGGAGGAAAGGGGGAGGAGTGTCAGGGAGGGAGGGAAGAAAGACGGTGGGGGGTGGGGGGTGCTCAGCCAACACTGACAGCCCGAAGTCCCCACACTCGAGCGCTCCAGAGGAAGCCAGGTGGCAGACTGGGTATTTGGGGAAATTCCTGCCCTGCGCCCTAGTCACAACCAGAGACGCCATGTAGCCATCTTGTCGTCTGGGCCCTACAAGGGCCCGAGGAGCCTGGAGCTGTCTTCCCAGAGCACCCCCCAGGGCACCTTCGCTTCGGTCCCCCCGCCTGGCCAAGCTCCCGGGAGTGACTCCTCAGTTGTTGGTCCTGGGAGGGAAGGGAGGGAGACGCTGACACGGAGGGTGTGCACCCCACGCCTCCTGCTCCCGGGGCTGATGGCCTCCCCTCGGGCACCGGCTCCCGCTCTCGGGTGCCCCCCAGTCCCCTGCTTGCTCACACCGGAGGCTGTGCTGGGAGCGCGGCGGCAGGGCCCGGGGCAGCGTGTCCTGGGCCTGTGTCCAGGTGAGCCGGCAGGAAGGAGGCCGATCGGATGTGCTCGAGAAACATGGGAGAGACGGGTCCCGGACCACCTTTTGCGGAGTTTCTCACCTGCTACCTCCCTGGCAGCAGCACCCCGAGGCCCGGGGCCACTGACGGATGCGGGCACAGCCCAGAAACGTCGCCAGTAAAGAAGCAAAGCAAATACGGGCCCGTCTTACCTCCGGAGTGTGGCGGAGGGCCGCAGAGCAGGACGACGCCCTGACCTTCACGCACGGACACAGTGCTTCTCATCTGGGTCTTAAAATTTTCCAGATCTGACCGGGAAACACAACGAAACAGAATTTCAGAAAGAACCATAACATGAAAATGTCCACACAGACACACACCTTCCTCTGGCAGGACAGTATTTAAAACCCCTTCTTAGGAGTCTCAGGAGAACGTTTGTTTTGAGAGGGGAAGGTAAGATTTCAATTTCTCTGTTAGGGCTCCTGGAAATTCAGCGGCACGGCAGAGACCCGTGTCCCTAAGCCTGCATTTGTGTCTCGGCGTCGGAGACGGCCGGGCCACGCCGCAGGGCGCAGCCTGGGGGGGCTACCCAGGTGGGAGGACCAGCCGAAGGAGGAAATGGCCCGTCTTCGACCAGACGCACACACACACCCTGGTCCCACATCTGTCCAGCACTTCACCGAATCACCGAGACTTCATCTTCCTGTAACAGAAGCCCCCCACTGACAAAATTTTCTGCTGCGATCTTTCACCATCAGCGGCCTGAGACGCCTTCCTGCCACCCGTAACAAAAAGGGCTGCAAACACTCCACTCCCGGTCACCGGTCCCGTGGGCCCCACGTCTGGAGGACGCCGTGGGCCACGAGCAGCAGCCACGCGGGGGCAGGGGGAGTTCACGGGACGGCGCAGCCCACCCACGTCCACGGACCCCTCTCAGCACGCAGCTCTGACAAGCGCCGCTGCTTCTGTCTCTGTCCAGAGGACGTCTGCCCGTGGCTCACGACTCCGTCAAGGCTCACGCGGCTTGGATCGCCAGAGGGTATTTTTAAAACACTGCATCGCCTCCAGCAGCAACCCCGGGCAGCCAATCCGCCCCACGCTCTCCAGCCGAAAGGAAGGCACAGAGAAAAGCCTGCTGGCCTCATCTCGAACAAAGGTTGAGCCGATGGGGGGAAGGAAGAAACTAATCTAATGTACTGCTTCTCCGAAGTCTGATTTAAAAAACAAAACAAAACAGATCTATGTTTGTAAGAAGCTCAGGGCAACGGGCAACCGCGCTGTGGATTCGAGAGAAAACACACCGGTTTCGTGGCTCTGGAGGGCGGACCCAAACCACCGGTGGGGGCACCACGCAGAGGAGATGGTGTGCCCATCTTAGAACGTAACTTAGAAAGTTTTGACCCCGCCGTGGAAAACATTAGAGGCAAAATAACATCTTCAGATCGATGAGACTGCGAACGGTCGACACGTGGGCATTCGGAGCACCTTGAACCGGCACCTCAGAGGGAGACGAGCGTGTTTGCCTCATCTCGTTGTTGCCGAGAGCGTCACCTTGCTGGTCACCAGGTGAGTGAAGCAATTCCGTGAAACCCTCACACACGAGACGGCAGGAGAAGTAAAAGAAGAAAAACGGTGCTATGGGCTTACTTTAACCAGAGGGAACCCCACAAAGACAACGTAACGTAGCACTGTGTCACCCGGCATGTGCACCTACAACGCAGCATTACCGCAACACCAAGGCTCTGGAAGTCAGAACCGCCAACCCGCACCCCTCAGCGTGCGCGGGGGCCGCCGGGGAGGACAGCGCATCCCGTGAGCCCCCTGGAACACCATCGGGGGGCACTCCCTGACCACCGGGCTCGCGTGTGCGGCCCCTGCGGCTGCCCCCGCCCCTCCTGCTCCCTCTGTCCCATCACTTCCCACCCTGGCAGGGAGTCCGCATGGGGGTGGGCGGGAAACGGCAAAGGGGGAAGAGCTCTAAAACACACTCCTGTCCCCTCTCCCTGAATAAGGAAGGGTCTTCCTGCCGCACCGATGGGACCACCGGGCGAAGAAGCGCAGGCAGAGGTCCGGCCTCCTCACTCAACCCCGACGGCCTCACTCAGCGGACATCTCGCTGAGCCGTGCCCACAACAAAGAGAAAATGCTGCTGGGGGGGGGGGTGACCGTGGCTCTTCTTGTGTTCCCCGACACCTGCAGAAGCTTCTGGAAGGTCTGCTGCTTCTGGACACGAGACACAGTCGGTCAACCCTTAATCACCTTCGGTATGGGCAGGTCCAGTCTGAACCAGACACAGCTGTGCTCTCCTGCTCTGACACTTGACTCAAGTCCCGTCTTTATTTTTCTTTTCATTTATGCAGACTCTGCACCTCCAAGGGCCACGTTAAAGATTACACTCCTCGCGGGAGGCGTTCTGAGGACAGCACCCTTCTCGCCACCCAGCGGCCTCAGCCGCCCCACCCGGCCAGCACCCATCCCCCTCGGAGCCTCCTCTGCCACCGGCTGGCGGCTGTGTCTGTCGGCACAAGGGATCACACAGGTTCGATTTTGGTTTAAATGAATAGAGAAATTTAACAAAAGAGTTCATGAGATACAACCATGCAAGGAAAGGGAGCTGCTACTTTTGTAAAAATAAAATGAGAGGGTCTGGAAAAACCCAGTGAAGGAAATTCACCCTCCCTCGGGGTCCCCAAAGTTGGTGCCCAAACTGGGTGGGAAAAGTGTAAAAGCCTGAATATACAGAATAAAAATCGCAGACTGCCTGGGCACCCAGGCTGCACCAGGGATGAACCACCACACGCACCCAAGGGAACACAGCCCCTGGAAAAGGCACGGGAGAGAGAACGCAGCACGGTGCGTGGCAGGACCGGGAGCCGAGCTGGTGCGGCAGGGACAGCGGCAGTGGCACTGCGCGGAGAAGCGACGGGAGAGAGCAAGAGCACAGCACACACACGGTTCCGTGCTGAGGCCGAACTAAAATTTCACCACACACGTTTTCTGTTTTAAAAACAAATGCCTATTGTTCAAAGAGTTCTTCAATGAACAGTCCAGCTCCTGGCTCTGACCACATCAAACAAGAATGCCCCTTAGGTCTTCAGAAAAAAAGCAAATGTTGGGTTTTTTAAATCCAGCAACAAAAATCAAGGATACTTTACTGTGTCGGTTATTGACAATTTTGCTCTTTTAGAATCTGTTAAATCCAGAAAAAAGACAAAAACCTCTTTTCATCGGATTGTGGATGTTGTTTTCACCTGTAACACTAACGTTTAAAAGATGGACAGTTAATATCCCTGAGGAGTAAAATAAATCTCTAAACTCCACACATTTTTCTTCTTATATTTCATACATGAAGCCTCGCTGGGTCATCAAAACCACATTTTTAAAAATCTCTGTGGCCGTCCCACAAATCCCTTCCCTTTCCTTTGGAACAGAGACCCCCAGGTACCCCAGAGGTCTGGGATAATCCAGCACACCTGCCTGAAAGCCGCATCTCGAAAGTCGATTTGATTTTAACAAGGCCACAGGAGACGCCAGGGTTCCTGCAGAAACAGCGCCAAACAGAGAGCTGTGTTTTCCAGACCTGCCCGTCCTGTGGGCACACTGTAGGGTCTGAGGGACCAACCCACACGCCCACTGGAGCCGACACCCAGACCGTCTGCGGGCCAGCTCGGAAATGACGCGACCTCCGGAAAGGACAGTGCCCTGCGGGTGGCGGCAGACCCAGCCCGTCAGCGCGGTTACCTTAGTCACGTTCTCAGACGTCTTCGGAAGAGCTTCCAGCAGCCTCAGTGGGAATGTCACATGTGCCCTCAGCACAGACACTGGCCTGGGCGGCTGCTGCTCACACGGGCTGCACGGGTTTGGACGCGTCTCAGAAAACGCAGATCCCGTGGCCCACGGGAGGGAGGGTCACAGGAGGTGATAGATGCAAAGGTGTGGGGACCCGGGAGTGGGGGGGCGCAGGGAGAACTGGGGGGCGGCCCCACCTCTGTTCTCAGCCACCAGACCCGGGCCACTGGCTGCGGTGACGCCACCCCCCACCCCTGGTCCTCTGGGGGCCCCTGTTCGTCCACATTTAGCCTCGTGCCCCCGACAGGCAGGTCTCTTCCCCCCGGGAACGTCTGCACGTCTCAGGGATGGCCGTCCTCCAGGCAGGCCAGTCCAGCTGCGGGTGGGCGCTGGGACACCGTCTGCTGGCGTCCACCCTCCCGGGGGCGTGAGGAGTGGGAACGCGTCAGCGAAGCACCAGCTCTCCGGGCACTACGGGAGAGTGCCGGACAGCGAGCCCCCCCGCCCACCCCGGCCTTAGTACGGAGACGCTGTTTATTTTTCGGTGCCCACCTGCCTCCCCCCCCGGCCGTTAGCCGACGGGCAGCTCGGCCCACGGGGTCCGGCAGGCAAAGGGCGCCCTTGTTTCCCGGGATGACACTAATTAGTTTAATTTTCATCAATTATGTGATCACTTCATGCTGGAAGTTTTTATCCAAGAGACTTCATGATTACTTACGAACTAGCTGAAAAAATACCTGATTTCGAGGCAGACGAAGACATGTGCATTATTTTATTTTTGTTGACTGTATTGGGGTGACCATGGCTAATGAGATCACACGGGTTTCGGGGTGCAGCTCTGTGACAGGTCATCCGTGAACTGCGTTCTCAGCCCGCCGCCCCAGGGGGGTCTCCTTCTGTCACTGCTCACCCCCCCACCTCGTCTGCCCCCCCGCCCCGGGTCTGCACCCCGCCCCCGTCCTTCCAGGAAACACCGCACTGGGGTCTGCTCTCTGAGGCCCCGAGTCTCCTTCTGTCTCCGTTCCATCCCTTTGCTCCGGCCCCGGCCCCAGCCCCTCCCCCCGACGGCGGTCAGTCTGCTCTGCGAGTCCGTGAGTCCATGTTCACAGGCACAAGCCTCTAATGACACACGACTTTTAACCGGTCTTCAAACAAATCCGAGAGGCAGGCGACACGCACTCTTGCCATCCCCAGGGTCTGCGCGGGCAAGCAGGGCGTGGAGGCTTTGCCCGAAGTCTTGCCGCCAACTCTGACCATCAGAGCCGAGTGGTGCCCCCGCACCCCAGTCTCTGACTAAGAGAAAAAGGGGGGGCGCCGCATCCAGACGGAAGTCGAAGCTTCTCGCTGCTTTTCCTCCATCCAGAGCTCTGCCTTTCACAGACTGGAACGGAAGGCGTTCGCTCAGTCTGCAGCTCAGGCTCCAGGTATTTGCGTTTGTTCTGCCCGTCACGCCAGGCTGGGCCGGGAGCAGGGGGTCCCAGCCTCTGGGGGTCGCCTCCGCCCGCCCCTCACTGTGTGC